TGGCCACGTCGTGGCTAGTAGAGGGACCCTGCATCGCATGGGCCCCATGGTGTCTGGGCAACTGCCCTTCCGACTTTTTATGAGTGCCGGTCTCAATTTCCGTTGTTGTTGATTTTAATTTATTTTTTAATTCGCTCATATTCCCACGAGTTGCGGAGAAAGGGTTCGTCGGCCCCGGGCAGAGATCCGCAGTACCCAGGGTAAGGCCATCGAATGCAACCGGGTGCGGCCTGGTTCCCAGAGGGCTCCGTTAGCGACTGGGCTATTTAGGGGCTCCCAGCCAGGCTGATCCTCAGTACGGTACGCGTAACGCCTTGATCCAGCCCCTACCTCCAGACCACGATCAAAGACCAAATTTTAGGGGAAAGCTGCTAGTTTCTGCTAGAAAAATGTTTGCCCACAGCAATTTGCCAACAAGGAAACAGCTGATCAAAAACAGCTGATAGGAATTTACGCAAATCCCTGAATTGAAATTTGTGGTTTGGAAGTTAAAATAGTAAAATGCGACTATTTAAACTTATAAGAAGTAAGTAATTATTCGTAAAGAAACCAACATTTAACTGAAACCAGATTTTGAACATTTGACCAAATGGATCTTTTGAATTTTTTTAATATCTTATGTTACGTACATTAGAATAATAATTAAATTAATGTTTTTCATTTCTAATAATAATTTTATTTAAAAATAAAATTTTAGTTTTTGTTGCCTTTTTTGGCTCTTTGTAGCCTCGGCATTGCCCACCCCTGGCTTATAACCTAGATTGTAAAATAGGCTACTTTTCTTAAGAGTTTCCATCTGCTAAAAAAGTTTACTCAAATAACACGCGGAAATGACTGAACGGGTTTTGTATGCCATTTTGCACACATATATTTTTTGTCCTAGATTGTAAAACAGGCAACTTTTTTTTAAGAGTTGCCTCCTTTTTAAAAAGGTTAATTACATTAACACGCGAAAACGACTGAACGGATTTGCATGAAATTTTACTCACAGATAGCTTATAACATAGAAAGGAGGATACAACTGCACGGATTTGCATAAATAGTTTATGACCTAAATTGGAAAATATTATGCTTTTTTTTTAATTTGCCATCTGTTAAAAATTTTAATTAAATTATTACGCGGAAACTGCTTAACGGATTTGCATGAAATTTTGCTCGCAGACAGTTTATGACTTAGATTGGAAAATAGGCTACTTTTTTAAAGAGTTGCCACCTGGTAAAAACGTTTAATTAAATTAATACGCGGAAACGATGAACGGACCTAGATTGGTAAAGAGTTTACTTTTTTTATCAGTTGCAATCTGTTAAAAAAGTTAAATTAAATTAATAAATTCAATCAAATATTACAATAAAGGTGTCAAACGAAAAAAGGTTTAAGAGAGCTTAATTTCGAAGATATTTTTCAAGAGGGTTGCCACCTGTTTGAAAATGAAATTTTGCACACAGATGATTTATGACCTGGATTGAAAAATAGGGTACTTCCCCAGCCGCTTTCCCGATCAGAACCAAATTTTGCACACTTACTACGGATTTCGCAAGGATGATCTTAGACCACGGTGACCATTCGTACGGATTTTGGCGGGACAGTACCGACTTTGAGAAAATTAATATGAATATTTTTTTAAAAGTCGGGACGTATAAGTGTCCCGATTATTCATATTTGTACCGATTAAGTCCCGATTTTTCAGTATTTTCTTTATCAATTTAATAAGAATACATTTTCTCGCACAAACATGTCAGCACTTTCGTTATCACAAACGATTAGAATATAAGGGAGCCATAAACATAGCCTCGTCCTTATTTTCGGTGATCTTTGGTTATGTTTTATTCTGTCAAACTATCGATATATTGCAGTCTATTATTCTTGTCACAGGTTTTTTAAGGTTTTTGTAATGATTTGTTAAATTTTTTTAATGAAACAATTCTAACTTGATTTTATTGAAATTACAAAAAATAACACCAACTGCCTTAAAAATCATGAGTTGGAAAAATATAAGCCGTAGATACAGTGGCGAAAATATAAATAGGGAAAAGTCATTTTACAATTATTTAGCTATTCCCCTTTCGATTATTTAATTTTAATTATTTGTTTATGAAATTGTAAGTCACAATTTAAAATTTTTTACAAAAATTAGCAAAATTCGACATAGTTTCATTAAATTTTTGAGCTTTTTAATTAGATTTCTACGAAGCGTTGTGAGTATGCAGTTTTGTAGCCCATTCGATTGAAAGGGAAAACTTTAAGTGACTAGGACTTACTTTGTATGGAAGAAAACGCGCGAACAAAAAATTGTCAAAAATCAACGGTAAGTCTTAGCTACTTCAAACGTATACTTTATTATATTTTGTTTTAAATAAATCTCTGTTAATAGATGTTATGTCTTTTTATTCTAAAAACAAAATTGTATGTTCGGATTCGATGCTTTATAATTGTCCCGATTTTCGCCCTTACAAATCTGGTAACCGTATCTTGGTTTCGCGGTTATATTTACTGACTGAAAGTAATTCCGATAACTCAAGGCGCCTCCCATAAAAATTGGAATTTCCATAATACATACATATCTCTGGAAGTATTTGTGGGAGAGAACTGGAACTTGGTATGGAGAAATCAAATTCATGCTCACTCACAGAGAAAAATTAACGTTTTTGGAAAAGGGGCGTGGCACCTCTCATACTAAATTAAAGTTTCATAATGCATATCTCTACAGATATTTGGGATGGAGTACTCAAGCTTAGTTTGGAGATACATATGTATGTATGTATGTGAAACCAATGTCATTGGAGAAAAGGGAGAGGTATTGGGACAAGGTAACGTGGCAACTCCCATGCAAATTTACTTTTTTGTGATTCATATCTCTGGAGATGTTTATTGCAGAGAACTGGAACTTGGCGCCGAGATGTGTATACAAAATTAATTCCATTCTCGTGGAGAAAAATTTGGGGTTATTCGCAAAGGGGGCGTGGTACCTCCCGTACAAATTTGCTATTTTATACTGCATATTATTTACTATTTTATACTGCATATCTCTAGAGGTGTTTATGGTGGAGTACTGTGACTTGGTACTGGGATATATAAAATCAATTCCATACTCATGGAAGCAAACAGGGCTATAAGAAAAGGGGCGTGGCACTTTCCGTAAAAATTGGCTTTTTCCTATCACATATCGCTGGAAGTGTTTGTGGAAGAATACTGGAAATTGGTATGGAGTTAAGTATGTATATAAAATTTATCATCGGTCATAAAAATAATGTGAGCTATTAAAAAAGGAGGCATGTCGCCTCCCATAGATACTAAAACTTTCTTAATAGAAAATCTCTGGAAGTATTTTAAATCTGTTATGGAGATTTATTTTATCAGTGCCGGAAAAGGGAGAGCCGGCTTAAGCTCTCATGATTCATACATACCTCTAAATGCCTCATTTAGCTACCGTTCTGCGAAGTGGTAGATATTTTATCAAAGCCAGGGTACTGAATTTGAGTTGGAAATATTAGAACCCGCCATGGCACTTGCCAGAAGGTTACACGTTCACGCGGTGTATCCTTGGAACCATTTTAAGGTCTATAAGTTTACGATGAGTTTTAAGGATTGATATCTTTCATAACTCCTTTCAAAACAAAACAAAATGGGCGAAATATAACACCATTAAACTATTTTTCATATTTGTATAAAAACATGTGGTAAAACCCGCGGGTATTATATAAAATCTATACCAGGGGTGGGCAAGACCGAAAAGAGCAACATGTAAATTCGAAATGCTACAAAGAGCCACAAAAAAACAATTAAAACTAAAGTTTTATTTTTAAATAAATTTATTATTAGAAATGAAAAACATTAATTTTATTGTTATTCTAATGTACGTAAGATATATATTAAAGAAAATTCAAAAGATCCATTTGGCCAAATTTTCAATATCTGGTTTTACGTCCCCTGTAGTCAAATGTACTAGTTGTAAACGACCTCACAACTAGTATGAACCGCATGCCGAACTAGTCAGCCAACTATCTTTTTTCCATGCAATCAACTGGTATTTTTAACATGGGGATGTCCTACGAGATGGCAATTGTCAGATTTCGGTCAGAAATATACCAGTCTCATACTAGTTCAAAATAGGCAGAAAAATGCTAGTCCAATTATGGACCAAAAGCACTCCTTTGGCAGTCAAAAAATGAAATTAATTCATGAATATACAATAAAAAACTTTTGATTAAGTGCACTTTAATATATTACACATTTTTATTTAGCAGCCTTAGATTTGCAAATAATTAGTGTTAAATTTTTGGAGTATTAATTAAAAGCAAAAATAAACACATAAATATTCCAGACTTTCGAACATAAATTTAAATGCATTTTTCATTAAATGTTATTAAAAGTAAAAGGTTTCAGGTACAATAAATACTATATTTTTATCTTTTTTAATAATATTGAATACGCAAAAGAAAACCTTTTAGTTAAAAATAAAATGAATACTTCAGTTCATTTTTGAGTGAACTAAAACAGAAATAAAAGTGTTCATTAAAATAAATTAAATTCATTAACTTTGCACATTTTAGTATATTCGTTTTAAAAATTTATAAAGGTAATAATTAATGTTAAAAATTTGAGATTTGGATAAGAATAAAATAAATAAATAATTCTTAATTTTTATCCATTGTTTGGCTTGTTGATTGATAATAGAAATTAACAAATAATTATGTTAATCGTGTAATTAAAAAAAGTCAAAAATAATTTATAATTATCAAAAATAACAAAATAATGATGTAATTAAAATTAATGATTTAATTAACTTTTTTTTTAAGTAATTAATTATTAATCATTAAAAAGGTGGTAATATCGGTATGTAATCATTAAACGGTTATCCAAAAAAAATGCTTTAATCAATAATCATTATGAATATTTATCATTATTTAACAGGTCTGGTATAATTGAATACGTACTCGATTTATTGGGTTACAAAATATACCGAAACAAAAGTTATAATATTTTGTGTACTTTATTGTATTAAACTGTCGAAGTCAAATAAAACATGGCATGACTAAATCGTTTTGTACTTTGCACAAGTCTGATCATTTTCGAACTAGTTCGGTTTCTGTCAGGAAATTCTAGTTGTAAACTAGAATTTTTCCTGACTAGTTGGGGTTTCACGCAGGGTCAGTTAAAGCCGTTCATAACAGTTCTGTTAAATGTTGGTTGGTCAATAGGTACGTTCTATTAAAATCTCCAGTATAAAATGTAAAACAGTAAAATTCCGGTGAAATGTCATCTCTCAAGAGAAAAATATCTAGAATAGTATGCGAACAGAAAATTTGCAGAAACTTGCAAGTTAGACGAAGAGCTGAGAGAAATTTTGTTTACATTCAAAAGTATAAAATTGAAAACGTTAGAAAACAAATCCCGAAGTCTCATCCTGACACAGTTCACTGACTAAACGAATAATTACTTACTTCTTACAGGTTTAATTAATCGCAGATTACTATTTTAACTTCCAAACCATCAAATTAAATTTAGGGATTTGCGCAAATTCCAACCAGCTGTTTTCTTCTTGGCAAATTGCTGAACAGAAACTAGCAGCTTTCCCTCAAAAGGTATTGTAATTTTGTTCTCTCTATTTCCCCTATTTTGCAATTTTTTCGTGTACGCAACCACAAAATGCTGATAGTTTTTATAACTTTCAGAAACTAGCGAACCCGCATGGCGTCAAAATGCCAACATTTAATTAAATTTTTTAAACAGTTGACACCCTATTCAAAAGCCTCTAAAAATATTCCTAATGATTAATCTAAACCATTTCTCAGTGATGAGAGGTTTCGCATGGTGTCGGTTTTCATTTCATCAAATATCCAATCTCCCTGTAACTTTAAAAAATAAAACCTGTGCATATCTATGTAGAATCCCAGTTCTTTAATTTGACTTCTCATTTTGGAAATTCGAAATAACGGTGAAGATGATATGACCTTAAAAAAAAATAGATGGCAACTCCAATTAAAAATATTATGAGCCTATATTTTCCTCAAAATTCTTTCGTTTGATACTAATATTTCGATATTTCATTTATGTATCTTTCGTTAAGTAAAATAAATTCGACTTTTTAAACAGGTGGCAACCCCTTTAAAAGTACTTTCGAACTAAAATCTTTCACCTGGCTTTGTTATACATATTTCAATTAACTGATGAATTAAGTTGAATTTAATTTTTTGAAGCACATGACCACTCCTCCTAAATACAGTTTACAAATAAATTATTTTCAAACCCATTTCGATTGATACCCATCTTTGGACAATCCATTTAACTTCTTAAATAATTTGAGCTTAATTTAAAAAAAAAAAAAAACAAATGTTCAATTTAAAGATTTCGTAACACTCTTTCTTTTGATAACCATAATTTAAAATTTCATGTAACTTATGTATAATTAAACGAAATACCACTTTCAAAACAGGGGGCAACCCTCTTATAAATTATTTTCGAACTCAAATTTCCTTAAATATTTTTCGTCTGACATTATTATAAATATTTCAAGTAACTGATGAATTAAGTGGAAATTTATTTTTTAAACACGCGGCAACCCTCCTAAATATAGTTCGTAAATAAAGGATTTTAAACCCATTTCCATTGATAACCATCGGTTAGTAATTCATTCAACTTATTAAATAGTTTTGGTTTAGCCCTTTAAACTGGGGCAACCCTCAAACACGTCAAAAATGATCTAAATTGTCAAACTAAGTAATTCGTGAAGCTTTTTCTTTTGATATCCATCGTTAATTTTTCATATAACTTGGGTATCAAATAGTTCAATTAGTCTTCTCAAATAGGTGGTAACCCTACTCAAAATATTTCCAAACTACTACCTTCTTAACCCTCTTTTGTATGACACCCATACAGCGGTACCTTACTCACTTACAAAATTGCTTTAATTAAAATTGAACTACATTTTTTTAACATGTGGCAACCCTCCTATACGTAGTTAAGTTATAAAGCCTTTTCAAACCCATTTCGATTGATACCCATATTTAATAATTGATTTAACTTTTTAATTAATTTAAGCTTAATTTCCTAACAGGTGGCTACTTTTATCGAAAAAGTAAAACCTTCTTGAACATCCACACCCTAAGCCCTTTAATTTGGTACTTCACTTTTGAAAATCGAACGGACGCTGCGGATCTGAGGGCATTGATTAGTAAATAACTTGAGTTTAATTATTTAACAGGTGGCAAGTCCTTTAGAAAAAATAAAACCAGTTTGCACATCTACAGACCAAGCGCTTTAATTTTACACCCCATTTTCGAAAATCGCATGAACGGTGCAGATCTTTTATGCGGAACAAAAAATGCCTTCGCGTTTTATATATATAGATTATCAGGTACGCAAATGAAACTTATTGTCAACGGTATTTCATTGTAGAGTACAAAGACTCACGGTTATACGTTGTCCCAAAAATGGAAGATATACAGCACACAGCTGTTTTCTACAGCGGATATTTTAAATCTGGTCCTTGTTGCCGGAATTCAAGCAATGTCAAAGCTTTATGTTGCACTTTCAATGCCTTATCTTCTTTTAATTCAAACAACTCCCAGTTTTCTTCGCTTTTCTTAAAAAGGAGTATTTCGGATATTGTAAATTCATCCTCAGTTATGTTACATAAAAGAGGGTTTATGAAGTATGCAAACGTACGTTTAAATAATTTCAAATCGGCAAATCTTTTTTCAAAATCTGCTTTTAAATTATGTGCAATATTTTTTTCTAGCCATGGAAAATGATGAAATATTCTTTGTTTGAGATCATGAATAAAAAGACGTAGTTTAGCTTGGATTAACGGAAACCTACATACCAAATTTCGTTGAGATATCTCAATTTTTTCTCGAGTTATCGTGTACACGGACGGACGGACAGACGGACAGACAGACATAGCTTAATCGACTTCTCTATTCATTCTGAGCATTTATGTATACATTTGTCTATATCTATCTCGATTCGTTTTGGCTGTTACAAACAACCGTTATGTGAACACAATTAATATACCCTTGTGCACAAGTGCGCTCGGGTATAAAAAGAGCCACACTTTGCTAAGCGAAGAGCCGCGTTTGTCCATCGTTGGTCTATACTAATATATATCTTGTAAGCCGTTTTTTTTTGTGTTCGCAAA